TTTAGTTAAGATAGTGTTAGTGAATCATTAAGTGATTTTGGGGATGAGTTTGATGATTATCTGAATGAAACTCCGATTGTGTGTAAAATTCTGATTATGAACAATATTAAAGACGTAGCGGATGATAACTTAGTAGATATTCAAGAGAAAATTCATTACATTTTTGGAATGAATCTGAAAATAAAATAAGGTTAGGAATGTTGTTTGAAAAAAGGATCAGGTAAAAAAGGTAGTAAGACTTTGGTTGATCAACCAAAATAGAGAGTTTAACGTTTGCGAAAGTAAAAGTAGTTTTTAGATAGCAAAGTGCAAGACTCTCAGCGGTTATAAAGGAAGTTCTAATAATGTCCCATATACACCACAGTGTGCATCGTATTTTAATGCAATGAAAAAGAAAAACCATCATATGTGGAAGATCGCACGTTGGGTGGATGAACACAAACTCTACAAATATGGCCTTTTACATCATCCACTCAATTGAAAAAGATATTGCTTAGCCAGTGAAACATATACAAAATATATTAAAAATGGTCTCAATGTTGATGTTTCTTATTAGAAGGAATTACATGGTTGGAGAAAATCCATATAGAATATTTATGAAACTTAGGCAAGTAACTTTGTAGAGTTACCCAAGTATATTGCAAGTTTGCAAACTTTAAATCCTAATATTGTTATGAAATGGTTTCATAATCCAAATGGAACATCACATGTGACAACATTTAATTATACTTTTGGGCTTTTGGACCTACAAATAATTCATTTCATCGATGGCGATGTAACATCCATAAAAATCACAACAAATTTGAACTTTTTAAAATAACCCCAAAGCATAGAAATTTTACAAAATCATTGTTTTCAAAGTATTTTTCCATATAAGAGTATCACATAGATCAAAAGTACATAAACAGAAGATGTTTACAATCACGCCTTCGCCTTCCCACGATCAATAGAAATACCTGGAATAATAATTAAAGACCATAAGCCAAAGCTTAGTGAGTTCTCCCAAAGTACCAACACATAAACAGATAACATATACAACAACATGTCGGGTCCAATCAACCATCAGGTTGGAATACCTCGGGCCTAGTCACCCTCCAGGTCCAATCATCCTCCGGAAGCAATACCCTAGGTGGAATGCCAATAAAAAAATAGGTCTAGTCAACCATCAGGTTTGAATACCCCAGGCCCAGTCAACCATCTGGTTGGAATGCCAATATACAACAGGTCCAATCATCCTTAGAATGGAATACCCTCGGGCCCAATCAACCATCAGACTGGAATGCCCTCAGTCTGTTGGCCCACGCACATAGCAGTAAAGCCTCAACCACCAACCAAAATATGTGCACATATAACATATAAATATATAATCAGGCAGATCTACAGATTCCTAGCATAAAATCATCCTATATACTAGGATATAGATCTTACAAATCACTACAAAACGATAACATACTATCACATAACAGAATATCTAATCCAATGGGATGGCCTTGGTGCCTTAGACCCGTAAGTATAGTGAGGAAAACTCATCTCACAGTCTTGACAAAATATGATGAGGTCTCGACTTTGAATCTCATCTCTAACCGCCACCTATCCACCCAAATGACCAATTTATCCAATATTATTCAGATTACCCAAAATACCCCTTGGTTGAACTTGGTCAAAGTCAAAGTCAAACTAGTCAAAATCCATAATTCAAGTTAGTCAACCCATCCGGGTCAACCCAATTGATTCAACTTAGCTGAGTCGACACAGATCACGTACGTGGGACGTACTCCAAATGTAAGTGGGTGTGCTCAAGCTCTGACCATTATCGAGGAGGTTGACCACATACGTATTGTGTACTTAGATTACATAGGGTGTATGCCCAGCCTTCCCAGACTTTCATTAAGAGCTTAATACCTTAAGCTCTTAAGTTCCATCTTTAGATCAAAGGCTAAACCATCCTCAATAGTCATAAATTTTCCAACTTTATGACATTGCATATCCATTAAGTGCTTAACTCAAGGTCATAATACATTAAGACCTTCTAGAGAGTGCATGGAGAAAAACCAACCATTAAGACCCCATTTTTATGATTCAAGACCCTTCCTAAGGTTTGAAAGGATGGATTAATGGGTCAAGAACAGTCCATGCTCAAGAATCACCATTTTGGAACCAAAAAGTAACTTAAAAGAGTAAGAATTTAGATCTACAAGATGCAATGGTAAAGTTGCAAGCTTTATACCTTCAAGAGGTTGCAAACAAGGTAGAAATCCCATATCCAAAGTGCTCTCAACTCCAAGATCATCTGACCACCTTCTTCTTTCTTCAAAACTCTCTTAAAGGCTCTAAAATTGCTCTCTCGATCTTAGGGTTGCTTAGGGGTCGATGTCACAAAAGGAGTATGGGTAAGAAGAAGATATAAGACCTTAATGATGCTTATATATGAGCCAAAACCCTAAAAATTAGGGTTGCATGATTTCCACGTACGACCTACGTACGATGTGTACTCCCAGCGTACTAAGACGCACCCTAGTATGCTTAGTGTACATACATACGCACAACGTACTCCTCAAAGTCCCAATTTACCAAAATGCCATTGTAGCCCCTTTTTGCATTCTTTCTCGAACTTGGGGGGACCAAAATGCAATATAATTCAATTATATCATCAAAATGAAAAGTACTTCATCATTGGGATGTTACAGTCGACATGTTATTTCCATTAATGCTTGTCATTTGATGGGTTCATGCAAGGGTAAAATGATTATTGTTGTTACAAAAAGACGCCAACAATAATATATTACAAGTTTCTTATATCATTGTTGATGAGGAAAGTACACATAGTTGGACTTGGTTTTTGTATCATTGCGGACATTTTGTTTCTCAAGATAGATAATTGTATATAATTTTAGTCAGACATCAAGGTATAATTCATGCAATGGCAAATCTAGAGGAATGGAAAGAGCCACTGGGACACCATTGTTTTTGTCTTTTACACATCAGAAGCAATCTCATGAAAAAGTACAAGAACATGAGGCTTAAATCATTTTCTTAGGATATCAGAAGCACAACACAAAAAAAAATTGTGAAGTATAAGAAACAAATAAAAGCAATCAATCTTGAAGCCTGCCAATATTTAGACCAAATGGATAAAAGTTAATGATGTCTTTCTTATGATAAATATCATCGATGGGGGTTGTTAATGAAAAATATATTCGAGGCTATGAATAATACACTACGATGAGCAAGACAATTACGTACTAGGGCATGTATTTATCTTATATTTAATAGAACTGTGCTACTTTTTAGAAAACACAATGATGATGCATTAAATTGTGATACACTTGTACCATCACGTATGTGGCGTCTCTTTCGTAAACATGACACTGCACAAAGTCATACTTTAACTGAGTTTAACTATAGTGAAGGTGTCTATAGAATTGTCATCAAATTATGAATAAATGAAAATGAAGGAAATACCCACATTGTCTGTTATTATCAACATACATGCACATATGGTAAGTGGTAGATGGAAAGATTTATTTGTTCACATGCTCTTGCAGTTTTTCGTTTTAGAGGGGATAACCCTTTTCCATTATCAATTCTGATAACACAACTATGACATACAAGCAATAATATAATGATGAGTTTCACCATTTGCTCGTGTTGATTATTGTTTAGAGGCTGATTGGAGTATTGAAGCAGATAACTCAAAATGTGTTTTTGGTTGAGGCTAGAGGCGTGCAAATCGATTTCGTAACAAGATGAATGTTTACCATCCTGATGAACCTCATAAATATGGACAATGTCATCAACCTGGTCATAACAGGAGAGATTGTTCAAATTCTCAACCATGATTCAATGCGATGTGAACCATGTAACTGTTATTATTCTTATAATTTTATGTTTAAATTTAGTTTCTAATTCGTGTTTAATTTCTTTTGTAATTGTGTGTTTAATTATCTTGTAATTAATAATTTTGTAAGATATTGGTACCAATTTGAATGTGTTTATTAATGTTTTCTAATAATTTAAATCGCAATAAAATAATAGCCACATTTCAATTATATATTTTAAAATATACAAATTTACATTTATTGTAAAAAACCTAAAATATTTTTTTTTTATAAAAAGATATTATAAAATAAATATAACTTAAACTTAGTAGCAAATGTAAATTTATATTCATACTCTTGGTTTATGTGGGCCTAAAAAACCATTTTTACAAATGGAATAAAAATCAACATTTTGTTGCAAAAAGTTTTCAAATTCAACTAATTTTGTACAAAAAAAAAAAAAAAAAAAAAAAAAAAAAAAAAAAATTCAAACCAAAACCATGAATCTATGGGTTTAACCAAGGTTGTCAAGATTGGAATACTACGTAGGATCGTTTTTAAGTTTGCAAGATCGGGATCGAGATCCTAAGATCCCACAAAATAAAATATAATTTTAATTTATAATAGTTAATTATGAAAATATTTCAAGCATTCAGTTATTCGTTCAAAAGTTATAAAAATTTTAAAATATTAGTCATAAGTTCCAATACAAAATGATAAATAGTAATTTGGTAAAGGGTAAAGGATACAAAATGGTAAAAAAAAATTCATTTGTAAAAAAAAAATTAAAAAAAATAATAAGGAAAGGTAGGATCGGATCGGATCTCGATCCTACGATCTTACCCCAAATACGATCTGTTTACGACCTGGATCGTTTGTCATAACTAGGATCGTAGGATCATACGATCAGGATCGCGATTTGACAATGTTTAACCCAAAAATGGAGAAAGCGAACATAAAAATCAAGAAACTGATTGTGTTCTAAGACCATCCACATGAATGGCTTGCAAATGGTTTGCAAGGCCAAGTAAGCAATTATTTTATGCCATATAGGAGTGTCTCTTTCAAAACTTGAAAGGTTGCAAAAGAATTATATTAGTATTTTAATCAAATAGCCATATAAAGATATTAAAAACAATTGAATTAATATATTATATTACTTTTATAATAAATTAATAATATCTAATCCATATGTCTTGCAAACATATTATACAGGTGGCCTTCACAAATATCTCGCAAGACTTGCTCTAAAACTCAAAAACCAAAATATACGGATTCGCTTTGATTTTCTCCGAAAAAAAAAAATGATCCGACTGCTCACCCATAACAATAATAATATATAAAAATGCAAAAGCACGATACTAATAGTAACGACAACATGAGAATAATATAACTATTACCCACCAAACTGCGTATGGTTTTGTCGCTTCCACACTCAACTAACGTCTTTCTCATAAAAAATGTCCTATTTAAAATTACTAAAAAGTCTTTACCGCTCAAATGATTATAAGCCACGTTTTGTACATTGAGTATAACCTCCCTCACGAACAACGCCGCCCCTCCTTTACCAGCGCCTAAGTTCACCTCTATTCTACATTCAACCGTTTCATTTGAGTTGCATCCGGGTAGAACGACGACGTATCGGAGATAGATACTATCAGTTATCCATGCAAGAATAGGTTTAATACTGGATAGGTTTACCACTCGTTTCAGGGTCGGATCGATTAGGATCCAGTTTAGCGTTATAGACTCTTGAAGGTGTAATATTGTTGCGTCGTCGGAGTCTACGATGTCTTCGACATTAAAGGCAATGGATCGGGGCATTCCGGTGACTTCTGGATCATCCTTTAACACAATCCTAAGCGCTGATGATAGAAATTCGGTTGTAGTGTCGGTGAATTCGGCTCCGAAGTAAATGATGTCATCATGGTACCGTATGTCCACAGCCGAGATAAGTTCAGTCGGAAAAGTTTGATGAGTTAAGGAGCAACCTGGGTCTGGGTGAGAGATAGACGGGGAACGATGGTGATTAGGGTGTTTGACGACGGTGATTGGAGGCTGAAACGAGTCTTGGAAGAAAGAGCGGTGACCGGCGGGGAAGCTGGAGATGAGGCGGTGAATACGTGGGTGGGTTAACGACGGCCACGTGGATTTGCAGATATCAGACCAGAGAATGTCATCGGCGCAGAGGGCTCGTAGATAAGATGATGCAGTTGCGGCGGAGGAGAGAGATTGAGCCTCCAGTCGTGGTAAGATTTGGGTCTGGATGATGAGTGGGTGGAGATCGGTGAAAGTTGTTGGAGAAGAAGAAGATGTCATGGTAAACAGAGGTAATGTTTTCGTATTTTGAGGGTAGTGATCATCTTGTTTGTATATATATGGCTGAGGTCTGAAACCTTCTTGGAAAGGAATAATTAATAATCTATTACCTTATTATTATAATTATAGAGTATCTGATATTGTTGACTTTTAAAATTTTGTTCTGTTAAAAGTATATAATTAATTCAATCGTTGCTATTATTAATAGTTACAAATTATACACGAGCATCTTGTTTGCGTAAAAAATGTGTAATTTTTAAGTAGTATTCAATTATTAGAAAACTAGCCGTTTACCCGCACAAAGCGGCAGGCGACAAATAGTTTGTTTCGATAATTAATTTTTTTTTCATGGAGAATGATTATTTTCAATTCAATCATTAGTTTGTTTTAGAAAACATGTCATATTAAAAATAAAGAAAATTTATGAAATGACCAAATTATAGAGTGTTGAGTATTTTTAAAAAGATCTCGTCAAAATATTGGAAGAGAAGATTTATAGGAGTTTGTTTAAATTTTAATATTATTTTATTAGTGATTAGTTGTACAATTAGCTTAATGATTTGAACGTCTTAAAAAATATTATTATTTTATTCAATCTATTTTTAGAAATAGTGAGATTTGTTTTATAAGATAGTAAAAAATATGTATAGAAGAGTCAATTATCTATTATATATTTTTGAAGTTCGAGATATTTATTTTTAAATATGACGCGTTATATTTTAGATTCCCTGTGTTAATTGTTTCATATGACTTGGTTTTTTCTATTTGTTAGAATCTTCTTTTAAAAAATTGAAATTATTTATGATGTTATTTTTTTTATAATATAACTTTATTATGAATTAAGAATGGAGAAATTAAAGATCGTTCTTGTAAATCTATCATACCTAATTAAAGTATACCATGTGTTATATTAATATACTAAAATATTGTTTAATATAATTAAATAAACATTAAATATTACACATATTATTATTTAATTGGAGAAGAGGATTTATAAAAACAAAAAATAAAAAGATATGTAATTTCTCTTAAAATGATATTCTAACAACTAAAGAGTTGATTATTTCTTCATTTGATATTGACGAACGTTATAATATGCAATTATGCATTAAATGTTTCTGGTTTTGCAATACATACTACGTCGTTGAGGATTGACATGAAATATTTACGATAACGAACTATAATGTAATTTATCATAGTTACTATTTTCGTCTCAGTGGTTAGATTTTAATGGATCCATTCCAGTTTTCTTTTCCTTTATGTTGTTTAAGTGGCAAGACTATTAAATCCATTTAAACCTTTATGTTCTTTATTTTTCTCTCTTTTACTCAAGAACATTCTCAAATTAAACGTTGAATCAAAACGAAGTTATATCATTATCTCAAATTATAAATCAAAAGAAATCAAAACAATTACAAAGCAAGTAATAGAGGAATCCAATTATAATGGGATAGCCACATCTGAACCCATATGATTTTAAGTTCAAGGTTTCTACTACCAACCTAATTAAACACGAATAAAAACGGTTTCTTTTCTTTTTCAATAAAAACTAGTGTTGCTGTAAAAAAAATTTATTATTTACTTTCTTTTATAAATATTACTTTCTATTCTTTCTATTAGCCTTGTCGAAAATACCCGTTACCCGAATTACCCGCCCGATTTTTTCGGGTATCGGATAAATCGGATAACGGGTAAATTTTTCCGGGTAATCGGGTTACCCAATTTTTTTTCGGGTAGGGTAAAGGGTACATGTTTTTGGGTATCGGGTATACCCGAATTACCCAAATTATTATTATTATTATTATTATTTTATTTTATTATTATTTTTTTTTGTAGAGCTTGTACTATATAGCAGATATTTGATCACGTTTAAACTATATCATTATTGTAAAACATAAATATATTTATTATGACAATACGACACTAACAATATTAAAAGTAATTTTTATATATCATCACGTTCTTTAAAACTTAACTGTTTTCTTGATTATAGTTTTTATTGCAACTAACAAACTCATTATCTTGACGAAACTTCAGAACATGGTAAAACTTATAGCTATATTTATCTTAAACAATTTAAACTTTTAAATTAAGATCTTTAGGTATTTGTTTTTTTAACATCTTATTAGATTAGATTAAATTGTTAAAAAATTACTTGATATCTCATGATTTATTGATTAAAAAATCTCAATGTTCAAAGCTTGACTAACTTCGTTTATGTCTTGTTTGTTTATATAAACAAGACTAATAAAGCACTACAAATTTATTTTATTAAATTTATTTTCAGGTGAAATTATATATATATATATATATATATATATATATATATATATATATATATATATATATATATATATTTATTTATTTATTTATTTATTTATTTCGGGTAATACCCGAATTACCAAAACCCGACCCGATACCCGAATTACCCGAATTTAGTTTGGGTAGGGTAACGGGTAATTTTTCTAACATGAAAAACCCGAATTACCCGAAACCCGAAAAAATTACCCGTTCAACACCCCTACTTTCCTATATAGCTTTATACTATGACGAATCTATCTAATTATAGTTATATAAAGTTTATTTATTCTTTTGTAGATAATTAATTAATACAAATAAACATCATTACTGAACTAAAGCCATAGACGAAAACATACATGTTTTTTCATTGTTTAATTATTTCTTAATGTTCAACGCAAAAAGAGTAACACATGTTCATTGATTTTTAGGGTAATTGCAAATATTGAAAGTACATTTGGCAATTTGTGCAGCGATGGCCCAACTGTAGATATCCAAAAAAATAAAATTTCAATGAATGACATGATTAACTGAAGGGTTAGATGTAATTAAAAGATACTTCACTTAATATGTTTATAATAACATTTTGTGTTCATTTCTTCTTGTGGTAGGGCCCTGGTTGGGTAACTGTAATAAATAAAGATAGATTTTTTTTTTTCTTTGTTGTGAAAAAAATTAGATGGCATCAACAAAACCAAAATTACATTGCTATTTTAGAAACGAAAAAAAGAAATAAATTGTACATTGATATATCTGTGTGGTAAAAATTAACAAAAAAAAAAAAAAAGTAAAAATAAAATGCGAGTACTAAATGGGATATCACTCAACTTAAAAGGTCGTGTCCTTGCATTTTTTAGCCTCCCACATACAAAAAAGGAATTAGATTTGACATTAACCACATAAAAAAACATTAAATTAACCACATAAAAAAAACATTGTACTTGTAACGTACCAAAAATCATGACATAAAAATTCTTGTTTTTAGATTAATAAATCGTTAATACATATATTTCCCATCAAACCAAGGTAACCAAGATTTTGCAAAACATCATAAATTTAGAGTAATTTACAAAATACAAAAACATGTGGTGTGTGCTCTTCAATCATCCCGAGCTCTTCTATTTTAAAACCAGACTACGTGAAACATAAACTGAAAACCGTTAGCACAAAGCTTTAATGAATTCCCCAAAATATCAGATAACATATAACCACAGAATATCAAGCGACATACCTATAGTTGTCATGGGCTCTCCCATAGTCTTTACCTGGAATGCAATGGGCTCCACTCATGGTCTGATATCCAAGTGTCATGAGCTCCCCCCATTGTCTTTACATGGAATGCCATGGGCTCCCCCATGTTCTAATATCCAAGTGACATGGGCTCCCCCATGGTCTTTAATGCAAGTATCACAGAGAAAACTAGCATTCCACATAACAAGTAATGGGTTGGCATTTGTGCCTTCGATCCATGGATATAGTGAGAAGACTCACCTCGGACAACTGAAACCTACTGTTACTTTCTGACTATAGATCCTGCTAAAATCCATGCGCTATCAAAATAATTCCAAACCAAACCCAACAATCCATATATGGGGTAAAAAGTGATGGCAATTTTAGGCATTAAAAGATATTTTTGGCTGGTAATTATTCCTAAAAAGACTATCACTTCTGCAACAAAACCACTCATACCCAGTAATGCAAGCGAAGCCATGGAAAAACTACTGAACATCGTAAATATATTTGGCATGGAGATAGCTACTTCGCCCATTTGGTCGAGATAAACAAGATGTATTCTATCATAACTCGTTCTTGCAGCTGCCAAGAAAAAAAGTGCAGCACCAATGAACCTATGAGAGATTATTTGTAAAACAGCTCCATTGAGTCCTGTATGAATTATAGAAGCAATCCCTATAAGTATGAAACCCATATGAGATACGGAGGAATAGGCTATTCTTTTTTTAAAATTGCGTTGGCCAAGAGATGTTGAAACTGCATAGATTATTTGTATTGTACCTACTATCATTAACCAATGAGAAAATATAGAATGAGCGTGTGGTAATAATTCCATATTAATCCGAATCAATCAATATGCTCCCATTCTTAATAAAATTCTAGCTAGAAGCATACAAGTACTGTAATGTGCCTCTCCGTGGTTATCTGGTAACCATGTATGTAGGGCTAGAATCGGTAATTTGACAGCAAAAGCAATAAAAAATCCAATATAGAATATTATTTCCAAAGCCACAGGATACGATTGATTCACTGATGTTTCAAAATTTAATGTTGGTTCATTAGAACCATATAAACCGACACCCATAACTCCCATTTGGTTCAAGACTAACGCTCAAACTCTCAGTCATAAATGCCCACAAATCAAAAAGCATCTAAAGCCCACTCATGCCCTAATTTTCCAAATTGGACCCAAACCCTAACATGGGCCATACCCAAAAGCCCATTTATTTTTCCTAAACCAAAACATATATTCTCAGATGGCCTAATAAAGCCCCAAGTAGCCAAACCAAAAAAGTTAGCCCAAACTGAAGTCCAAATACTCAAAGCCCAACAGACCGAGTACACGGGGCATACAAGGACATACGCGTAACGTACTCGCATGGAGGCTTTTACGCTACGCGTACCTGATTATACACCCATCGTACTCACCTTATTTAGCTCAAACTTGATTTTTTCCACTTAATCCATTA